TCTCAGACCATGTCAGCTGCCTTTATGAGACTTTTAACAAACTCTCCCTCACTGTGTGGCTGCGATGGTAATGCTATGTTTTTAGCACTCAGTTAGCTTCCCTATACAGTAGCAGCCGCGTTCAGACTGGATCATGCGTCGCGTCAGGTTTCAATGCAAAGTCTATGGTGACGCGCGTTGCAGCGTCAAAAAGCACCGACCTCTCAGCACGCACTGGGACTGCTGAGTAGAGCTGCACGGACTTGGCGGGAAAGTGAAAGGGGAGGAGCAAGAGCGGAAAATGGACGCCCACAGGAGATAAACTTTGCTCAACTTTTCCTCGGGACGTTCGTGCAGCAACCAATCAGAGAGCCGCAATTGGTCACGGGGACATTTATGGTCTGAGCGAGCAGACTGAACATACTGTAAACAGCCAAAACAGGAGCTACACCAGGACTGAACCAGGGTTGACAATGGGGGACTGTGTGCTTGTGAATATATGCGTTGTCATGCTCCCGTGACTCCATGCAACTGCTTCGAGTGTGTTCGCCGATGCGGAAATACCGTTTAATAAAAAAAAAACGTATGCCGCACCTTCGTGAACACATACTACTGTTATATAAAGACCGTGGAAGGTCGCTAGCATAGCTCTGTTAGCATTAGAGCCGGCCGGCTACTTCCGGTACTTCCGGCTCGCGTCAGGACGTTCTGGTGTGAAGTCCTCTACGTCTGAAAACTAGAGAATGCACGTCTGGTGAGAGGGGCTTCAGCGTTTGAGCGTTTGCGGTCTGAATGCACCATAACCTCTTGATTTGGGCACAAACAGACTGCTGTTTCTTCAGGGCCAGACATGTTTATCTTCTGTCTTCTCAATTCTCCGCTCAAAGTGCCGTATCGCCGAGTCTCGTTGTTTAAGTTGTTATTCCTTCAGCACCGCTCTGGTGGAGCCAGCTACAGACGCACTGGACTCAACTCGCTGCTGAGCGCGGCGCTGCGGCGTCGCAGAGCCTCGCGTAAAGGGGCGGGGCGGATTTTTGTATTATTATTATTATCATTTTACATAAATGAGCCGCGGGCCGTATCAAATCTCTTGGCGGGCCGGATCCAGGCCGCGGGCCGCATGAATGACACCCCTGGTCTGGATGATCTACCCAGAAAAAGAAAAACCTCCCATATACCTTTAACAGTTAAAAATCTAACTTTTAGTTTATAGTTATAGTTGTAGCTAATTTCTCAGTAATTTCGGAGCCAATACACATTAATCAAAAACTGTCACAAAGTTCCACATCTTATTTCAGTACATATCTATTGTCTAATATCATTTTACCAAGCTGTCTAAAAGTACACACGCATGCACATCTTACCAAACTACACAATATTATACAGACAGATCCTTCATGGTAAGTTTGGATACCTGCTCCTCTCAGGTCCATAAAATCACATGTGGTGTGTCCCAGGGTTCCATTTTAGGTCCAGTCCTTTTTAACCTGTACATGCTCCCTCTTGGCGGTGTCATCAGGAGACATGGAATTAACTTCCACAGTTATGCAGATGATACACAGCTGTACATCTCCATGTCTCCTGACGACACCAGGCCAATGGATGCTCTTTTTAACTGCATTTTAGACCTGAAATCCTGGATGGCAGAAAACTTTCTCCAGCTCAACCAGGACAAAACTGAGGTTTTAGTCATCGGTCCTGAGGCCCAGAGAGAGAAACTTTTACCGAAACTCCAATCACACTCTTTTAATCCATCATCACAAGTGAAAAACCTGGGCGTAATCTTTGACTCTGAGCTGACTTTTATTCCTCACATAAAGAATATCACAAAAATAGGTTTTTATCACTTAAAGAACATCGCCAGAGTCCGCCCCATTCTCTCTCGGGGCAACACGGAGACGCTGATGCATGCTTTTATCACCAGTCGCATTGACTATTGTAATGCCCTGCTCTCTAGTCTTCCCAAAAAGAATATTGCAAGTCTTCAATTACTCCAAAACTCGGCCGCACGTGTCCTGACTAAGACCAGGGGGCGGGACCACATTACACCGGTTTTAAAATCGCTGCATTGGCTCCCCGTGGGTTTCAGGATCAATTTTAAGGTACTTTTAATGGTTTTTAAATGTCTTAATGGTCTTGGGCCTTCTTATCTTTCAGAACTGCTTTTATCCTATGAGCCTTCCCGGCCCCTGCGCTCCTCCGGCAGCAGACTCCTAACCATCCCCAAAGTCAGGACACACACTCACGGCGAGGCATCTTTCCAGCACTACGGCCCCCGTCTCTGGCACCTTTTTAGATTAGCTTTATTATTTATTATTGCGTTTTAGTACATTTATTTATGTTTTCTAGACACATTTTATTTTTTGGTTTTTATTTATTTATTTTATTTTATTGTCAATCTCATAATTGGAAGGTCTACCAATTTACTATTGTTAGTATCAACATTAGGCAGCTGCCATTTTCCTTTTTAGTGTCACATTTTAATGTTCTACTTTCTATTGTATTATTGTATTGTTTTAGTGTCCCCAGTGTTTCCTCTGGAGGAGCCCTCTGCACTGGGGGCTGGGGTCTGCTGTGGCTGCGGAGGTCGGGCTCTTGGACCTGGTGGGGGTCTGGGGGGGTCCTCTCTGCTCTGGGTCCTATGAGGGACTGACTCCTGGACTTGTTGGGGTCTGGGGCCCCTCTCTCTCCTCTGGGTCCTGTGTCGTTCCCTGTGGCTGCAGCCGGCTCTCGGCTCCTGGTGCAGATGGCTCCTTGGATGGCGCTTCTTCAGCCGGTTACATCTGCACCCAGCCCTATTTCTTTTTATTGTTTCACCTGTTTTACCTGATGTGACTTTGTATATGTGTGTATATGTGTGTGTGTCTGTGTGTGTGTGTTTGTGTGTGCCTGAGTGTGTGTATACGCATGTGGTTGAATATATAATTATAAATGTGGTTTTTGGGGGGGTCTGTGGGGAGGTGGGATTTAGGGCTGGGCATATTGGATTGTTTTTAACTAAACTGTAAAGCACCTTGTGTTGCATTTTTTTGTATGAAAAGCGCTTTATAAATAACATTTGATTGATTGAATAACAGTTGGCATACAACCCCACTGTGGCACGTGGTCCCAGAGTTCTTAGCGCTGCTTAATTTGACGGGATTAGGCACATGCAGTATGAAAGGTATGTGAATGTCTACATTAATGTGAACACATTTGGACATTTTCTTATTAAAGAGCCATTATGTGGGATTTTAGAATTTTTTAGACTTCAACCAACACCACTGCGGCGCTAGCCTGGTCGTACCAAACCTTAGTACAATATACATTTCGTACTAAGGTCTGGATTTGCTCCATTGTGCTCCGTTAACAGGTGGGAGGGGTTAACTCCTTTTGCAGATTGAAACGATTGGATCTGAGTTTACCGTGACGTATGTAGTGCGCCCGAGTGTGTTGTTAGCATTTAGCCTAGCCATCTCCTTTGCCGCTAACAGAGCCCGTGGGGAGTAGCGCCACAATCTTGACTAGCGATTACATTTGATAAACATTCCTCTTGCTCCTGCTTCAATGTCTACCTACAACGCGCTCTCTGAGTAGCCGGTCGAAATACGACCGATTGTAATCTCTAACACAGGGACCAGACCCAGACGTTACATGCAGTGAAATGATGATTGAGCGGAGTGTACGGATGGCTAAGGCCAGGCTACTGCGGCGCATGTAGTAGCAGCATATTTTCCATCACACTGTTCTCACACCCCCTCTCTCCTTTAAGGGGGGAGGTCTATATGCATATATATTTATATATGCAGATACAAAAATAAAAAATAATATATATATAAAAATTGTCCACTCACCTTTGGCCCTCCGCGGGCGGTTATCCCTCTCTAAGCTCGGGTCCTCTACCAGAGGCCTGGGAGCTTGAGGGTTCTGCGCAGTATCTTTGCTGTTCCTAGCTCTGCACATTTCTGGACCGAGATGTCCGAGGTTGTTCCGGGGATCCGCTGTAACCACTCTTCTAGCTTCGGGGTCACTGCCCCGAGTGCACCGATCACCACGGGCACTACTGTCACCTTTACCCTCCAGGCCCTCTCCAGCTCCTCTCTGAGACCTTGGTATTTCTCAAGCTTTTCATGTTCTTTTTTCCGGATGTTACCATCGCTTGGAATTGCCACGTCCACCACCACGGCTGTCCTCTGCCCTTTGTCTACCACCACGATGTCAGGTTGGTTTGCCATTACCATTCGGTCGGTCTGTATCTGGAAGTCCCACAGGATCTTCGCACGCTCATTCTCCACCACCTTTGGAGGAGTTTCCCACATAGACCTTGGGGTTTCCAGCCCATACTCTCCACAGATGTTTCTGTACACTATGCCAGCCACTTGGTTATGGCGTTCCATGTAGGCCTTCCCTGCCAGCATCTTGCACCCTGCAGTTATGTGTTGGATCGTCTCAGGTGCCTCTTTGCACAACTGACACCCGATTTTATATATATATATAATATATATATATATATATATATATATATATATATATATATATATATATATATATATATATATATATATATATATATATATATATAATAAATATATATATAAATAAATATATATATATATATATATATAAAATAATAGCTTTTTTGAACATTTACAGAATCTTCCTTCAGTTAAAGTGAAGACCCTCACTTCACACAGGAAGGAAGCACACGTCACAGTCACAGCCTGCGCCCAGCTGCTGCTCTGACTGCGGTGAACACAGAATATGAACTTGTGCTTGTGTGGTCTGCACATCAAGCTTGAAAGTAACACAGAAATCTGATGACAAAACTGTGCAACTGTGGAAGATGCAAATATTAAAAGCCAAACTTTACAGTTAATATCAGATGAGTTTGTAACAAACGCAAACAGACAAGTTTTATGAGGCTGGAAAGAGTTTAAAATAAGTGTAGAGCACAATTACTAAATAAATACATGGTACAGAGTTGTTAGTGTTTAAAAACTTCTACATTTTTTATTTCTAGTCTTACAACAACTGAAGAACCATCAGATTTTATAGAGTCCAAAGAAGTTGGCATAATGTCCATGACTAAGATAATGTGGGTGTGAGACATTCACTAAGACTTTGTCGTCTTTCTGCAAAGGAAGAGCGGAGCCAAGGAAGCTGTCAGTGGTCCAGGCGTGCCGCTGCTCCGAGGGACAGAAGCCCTGTCTGTGTGTGTTCATCAGGGTCAAAGGTGAACTGTGGCTGGATCTCCTCACAAACACAGAGTGCTCAAAGAAGGAGGTGGAGTGGCAAGTCCTGAAGATCAGCTCCACTCTGGAGTAAATGTAGTACAGTCCTGTTTGGTTCACCTGCAGAGCTCCATCCTCCACCTTGTAGGTCACACCTCCAGAGATGAACGCCCGGCCCACACGTGGCTCCCATCGCAACGTTTTATGAGTGGGATCCATTTGAAGACGCCCTGAAACATTATGAAAATGTGTCTTTAATGACTGAAAGTGCAAATGACAGGGTTTTATAAGGGTCTTACCTATAACGTGAGCTGCCGGCCTTTCCTCTTGCACCTTCTTTTCATCCTTTAATGGAGGCTCATACAGTCCTAAAACACATAGATTTATAATTAATCATAAATATGACTAATTACAATATTAAAAACTCCTCACCTATTTGTTTCTGTGGTGCATTAATAACATTCTCCACTGTGCTTCGGTTTAGGGCCTTGACGATCTAAAACAGAAAATACAGATTGACGTGGACGTGCAGGTGCAGGTTTGGTTAACATCGCAGCACAATCTTCCAACTGAGAACAGGGACTTCCTGTGTCAGTGGACTGGTGGCCACAGGCGCAACATTTCCACAGCTTCATTTCAAAGTTAAAATGTAGATACGATCATGCAAAGGTGAGCACAACTTTCCATAACTGTGGCAAAGGCAAACTATATTCATATTTCACTGTGCAGGTCCAAAGTAATGCACAATCAAAGCAGGGGTAAATAACTTTCCAATGATTAATTAATAGAAAACCATGTATCCATTCCTTGCGCTCATTAATGTTATATAATTTGTTTCCACATGTATTTTGGCCTCTGTGACATCTTTAGAACATTTTCAGACAGAAAAGTGAAAAGGATCACCCTCACTCAGTCAATATGCTTTCAGCCCAAAAAGTCAAATTGTGGCTCCCAGGGATCTAAAAGTTAAAAGTATGCAAAAAAAAGCTGGTTTTCTAGTTGCAAACCACATATTATTCTTTAAAAAAGTTGGGATCTGTACCTCAGCTTTAAAATCCTTGCATAATGACCAAACATTACATCAAAAAGTGCATAGAATTGACCTCCCCTTACATTTCTCATGTCCTTCATCTCTTTTTGCAGGTTCACAGTCCACACAGCTCCGATCCCCAGGCCTGAAAACACCAGTGCGAACAACAGCAGTATCACCACAGCCACTCCAGAGCTGACCCCCAGACAACCACGTCTCTTCCCAGCTCTCCTCACTCTCTCAGGGGCTGGAGGGAAGGACCAGCAAGGTACCAGGTTTGGAAGTGCTCCATGCTGATTGGGAGGTCCCCCTCTGTCCACAAGGAACACCTGAGGATAAGGCATGCTTCGGTCGTATGCAGAATCAGAGCTCATGGTGCAGGTCTGAAGGACTGTCACCTGTGAAGCATCAGGTGCAAGAGCTGTGCAGCACAAAGCTCCCGTCAAAGAAGCTGTCATTGGCCACCGCCTCCATTTCCCTCCCATGTCTGACCAAAGATCTCAACTTCAAGCTGATACACTTTCTGCACAATTTGATCAACTCCAGAAAGCAAACTACAATATGAACCCATACATTTCACTTTATAATGTTATGTCCAAAAAAACAAAACAAAAACATCTTCATCATATTTGAAATTGTTAGATGCATTTAGGTTTAGGAGTGGATCTTCTATTTCAAGAATTATAACATCAGGGTTTTTATGTTTGTAGAAGTTTAAATCTATGGTAATCTATGATAGGCTGATGCTCTGGTTTGCAAACAAAATTAGATTAACATAGTCAAGATTCATATTAATTTACTCATGGTTGTTGTGAAGATTTTATTAACACTTTCTCTGATGTTACTAAGTTTTTTACAGACCGTGGGAACATGTATGCATGTCCATTTCATAAAGAGAGAAAACAAATAAAAAACCTTTAATACTTAGAAAAGACAGAGGAAGCGAAGAGGTTTCCGTTGCCCTTGTTACACCCAGACACAAAATAACAAAAACAGATTTGACCTCACACATTTTACAAAAAAGCATTATCCCAAAACTTTTGGACTCAAATTGGGTTGATAATACATCTTGTGTAAAATCTGATTTTTCATGTTTTTATTGATGCCAGTGATAATGATACAGCAGTTTCAGTGGCAGTGAACAGCACTTTTGTGGGAAGACGTCGCTGCCACATGAAAAGCATTTGATCAAAGCAGCAGGAGCGATACTCTATGAATCAACCCCAACACAGAAGTGAGCTCGGAAACCTCCTGAGTTCATTTGACAGAACATATGTTCATCAATACTGAAACTAACTGTCTACTAAAGGTAGAGTCTCATAAATTCTGGGTAGATGAGAAAGAATATGTCTTTGTGGTTTTTGTTGAAGGGCACTGGTGTAACCGCTTGGGTGAGAGCTTTTCTCTCTGCAACGATCCAGAAACTTGCATAAAGCAAAACATTTTTTTGTTTGCTCCTGTTGTACTAAAACAAAGCAAAACATACAACTTTTTATGAGATTTATGACGATGGTTGATATTTTTGTCTTAATTCAACTCATTTCTGTCATTATACTTCATAAAGACTGTAGAATGTGTTTATTTTCTTGTATGAATGTTTATTCAATACATAATTCCATTCATGTTATAAAATGCTTTGAAAACTCTTGCATGTCATACATTTTGAATTTTAAGTAGCATTTTCTCATTTAAAAAATGACATAGTTTTTATGAAGCATAAACCATTTTTCCAGACTCATTCAGAGACAAAGGGAAACCCATGAGGTTCACTTGCAGCGTCTGTGCAACGACTTAACCAGAGAAATCACACGTGACGCGTGTTGTTTCCCCGAAGTGCCGTCCTGCTGCTGTGGGCTCACCATGTGAGGTCTAACCAGCACTATCTACCAAAGAATCATGATTCAGAGTAGGATATTCATATCTGGAGTTTTCATCTAGTTTTGTGTGAAAGCAGTCAGTGTGGCGCACACTCATCAAGTTTCTTTCCACCTACATTTCAGGTGTAATATTAACAAACATAACGGAAAATTGTCGTAATGTCAAACTTGAAAAAAAAAGTTCGACCTGATTCTGTGACTGTATCAGCAAGTCTGTATTGATCTTCATCAGATTCAGATTCAGTTTATTTGCCATTTGCAGTAAAAAAAACCACATTGGAATACATTAGTGAAAAGTCTCCAGTGTGCACAGACAAATACAGACATAAAACAACATTAAAAGACAAAAATAAAACAAATAAAACAGTAAACAAAAGTCACTGTGAAATCGATCGACTAAAACAGTTCAAAACAAGTGCAAATCATTAAAGTGCTCTGTTCACTTCATTTCATTTAGAAAAATATGTACTTATGAACACGACCATTTATCTTGTTCATAAAGTACATAACATAAGGCTGGCAAACCTGCATAATAAATGTGTTTTATCTCTGTGCAGCACTTTGGAAACTTGTTTTATAAAATGTGCTGTATACATTTGGTGGATTGGATGGGATTTATCAGATATCTCTTTAATTAACAACTCAGTAGACTGACAACTGAAGTACCTTACAGTAGGTTTCAAGTTCTGGTCAAAGAAGGATTCCAGATTGTTGGTATGTTTATAAACCGGGCTGCTCCTCAGCTCTGTAACAGTATGATGTAATAGTACAATGACATTGCAGAGCAGGTTCCTAAAAGAGCCAAAACATTTGATTTGGTAAGCTCCAAACTGAAATAACTGTTTGCAATCAGTAACGTAATTTTTTTGAAAAAATGTCTTCCAACTCTTCCCTCTGAGAATTGCAGGAAGTTAACAGCAAAGAATGTTTTACCTTTCATACATGTTTTGCCATATTTTCCATGAAAAATAATTTAACATTCTAAAACATAGTACAAAGTAAATTCTGTCATTGTCATTTTATGGACCAAAAATTATGCCAGAAAATAGTGTAGGGGCAGTTACAAATCTTGTTTTTCGTCACACTTGTACTGGATCATAGTGAATCACCTCCATCATCATCTGACGAGGAGTAACAGTCCAGTCCCAGGAGATGCCCTCGGTCGGTCGTCCCTCCTACGCTCAGAGGACCCCCTGGTACTTGCTGCAGTGAGGAACTTTTTGCTTCTTCTTCAGGAGCAGAGGATGTGCACTCATTTGTTGACATTGTTGATTCTATCAGTCTTTGAGTTTTGTCCATGAGCTCTTGGTGGTTGGCCTGAGCTATGACTGAATTGCCTAAATTTGGCAGCCCCGATTGCAAAACTCTGGCAAGATCGTTTGTTTTAGTCAACTCCAAAGCTGCAGAAGATCCTCTAAATGCAGCCACGGCCACTGCAAGCCGTGATTCATCAAACATCAGAGGTAAATCCTGCTCTGGGTTGTCTAAACTAGAAGGGTTTAAAATCCTGGTTTCTGTGTAATTCAGAAGTGTCTTGGTTAAAGATGTCTTTTGATTTCTCATACAACATGTCTCTGCTTGTCCCCCGCTGCCGTCTTCGTTAAAATCCTGGATCCCTTCAGAAAGTGCTGCGTGTGGCTTTTTTACTGAAAAATACATAAATAAAACAACAACAGTTCAGTTTGGCTCCTGCGGGTAAATCAGTTTATTTGATCTGGCATTTTTATTAAAATCATGCCACATCATTAGATTCCATTTGCTGTATAATATCTATAGAGATTAATCTCTACATTTTCATTCATTTTCATCTATTGATGATCAGGTTATGTTTATTGTACAATGTTTGTATTAGGAAATTATTGGTATATTGAAATGTACATGAAAGTTTAATTATACTGTACTGACCAGAATTGTGTGAATCCGGCTGATCTGCTCGCCTTTTACAGTAAGCTCGAGGCGTCCAGGGCTGGTGTTTACACGACGGGTCAAGGACACGCAGTTTTGTAATAAAACTTTTATATTCTTTTTCCAAAGCTTCAATTTTAAGCTGGAACTCTGCAATCTTCCGCTCTGGATAGTGAGGCAACTGGGACTGCTGAAATGTAAACGACAATAACACTTTAATTGACACAATTTTTAATGATTCATAGAAAGTAGTTGAAACGTGCAACTATCACTGTACCTGCAAGTAATACTCGATTTCATTTTTAATGCTAGGAATCCACTTCTTCACTGACGCAGCAGTGTGAAGAGTATACTGTAAAGGCAAAACATAACATAACAATGATGTTTACTGTTGTCAAAGCAATGGGTCTATGAAACTATGAGTGTATGTGTTTACCAGCTTGGGTCTTGTTTCTCGCACATCTTTGAGTCGTCCCTCTTTAAATAAAGACATGTTTTTACAATGAACATTAGTCAGTTCTTTATTTTGTAGATATAAGTAATAACTAAACAAACAATTATACCGAAAGGAAATGAAAGGGAGAGAGGGTAACAGCGGGGGCTAGCATGCGGCTAACTGTTAGCATTTAGCATTCTCAGAGATTCCAGTCCAGTGTTCAGTAATTAGGTGTTTACCTTCTCGTTCTTTCTGAAGCCAAAGTCTATTGAGCCTCCCTTGTTGTTTCTCTTCATTTCTTGCCATATTTGACCTTAAGAGTCTTTAATACTGTAATAACCATAAATACATACTAGCACAATGCATTGTAGCCAGCACCCCTATGTCCTAAATCCATGCCCATGCTAGCTAGCACCCAAACAAAACCACGTGACTCTATGGACGTCACTATCGAGCGACCACGTGGCTGGCGAATGATTAACGTCACAAATAGATCCATGCACAAATCCCACAACATTGTGAGTAAAAATAAACAAAGGCGTTATTTCAGTGTGTAGGGTCCGTGTACTTTTGCGTTCAATACATTTTTTATTTTTGAAGGGAAATGTAGAATCGAAAAAAGGCTATTTTGCATTTTCAGGCACACAGCAATATACAAAAAGGACCATTTTGGTTTTTTTCATTGCTTATAAGACATATATATATTATAATAACCGGATTTGGAAACTAGAAAATGCAATAATTAACCTTTTTAATGTGTATTTTATATAATTCGGCGTCAATCGATTACCCGGATGTGAAACAAGTTTGTTTACTTCAGCCCTATTCGCTCTAATTTGTATAATTTAATACGCAAATTACCTCCTGTATTTGTCCAAACACAGACGTCCTGTAATTTGCATGTCAGTGATTCTGATCGCTATTGCCGCTTTCGTTTTACTTTCTGCGTTGTTTTTGTCAATAAGCAGAGGAGTTGCGTTATCGCGGCTGTGAACTCAGCTGCAGAGTCGCGACTGCTGCTGTCTCAGTGAGGTCTGTGGAGAAGTGTAGAGGACAGTGTAATGTGTTCACTGACACTAATGATCAGACCGATGGGTTGCATTTGTTCGTTTACTTTGCACTCTGTCATAAACTTACAGGCGTGTTGCTGCAGGCGTTACTATTTTTCGGCTTGTACTTATATTAGTGGTGCGTTCACGGGCGCTAGATAAATGTAAACTCGGGTTTGAGGAGAGGGTTCATGATGGGGATCGTTTGATATTCGCCTGATATTCGAACAAAATCCCCCTGGATTAAAAGTCTGTCCGTATTTTCAGTTTAGTGAAGAGTGTAGCATTAAATACTGTTCACAATGTTGCCACCTATCAAAAAAAAACTTGACTTAGGCTGCAGCTGACGATTTATACATAGTTCCCACAGACCAATGAATGTCACATGACCTCCTCGGAGACGCCATCTTTGATGGCACGCTGCTGTGTTTGTGCATTCCATTAAACAGAAGAATGAGAATAAATGTAGATATTCAAACGCAAATTGGAAAAAAAAAGCAAATAATTGTATATTAATACAATGGCACCACAGTTTAACGTGCTACGGACATGTTTTACATATTTGATCAAATTATGCAGCAAAAATTAACAAGCAATGCAAACATTTCTCAAAAACTTTAGATTTAATACCAGTTGGAGCTCCATTTAATTATTTTAATTATATTAACAATTAATTTAATTAATGCTAATGCCACACGGACACTCTGGATTGCTGTTATTGTTTATTTCCGCGTTTTTGACCGTATGTTTTGGTGAATGGTGGGCAACTGATTTTTCCAGGCGTAAAGAGCAGTTTATTTTATGACACAGATCTTTTTACAGAAGCAATGCTGTTTGTGAACATTTTTTTAGCCCACCATAGAACTATTATTATCTATTTAATACATTTACGTTGCCCTCGAGAGCCTCGGACGCGACACCGATCCTCCTCATAATAAAGTAATCTAACGCTAAATAATGAAACTCTCAAGTTACCAGATATCAGCATACACAAGTTAGTACTGAGTAAATTACGTCTGTCAACACATTATAAGATACGATACGCACCTGACACAAAGTGCTCCGAGCATATTCTTGCGTGTTTTGAGGGAGTTTCTTGCCTGTTTATCTTCGCAAGCCATAACCTCCGTCGTTGTTCTGACAAAAGCTTAGTCTTCTCACATTCATGAAGTCTAATGATGGGTATACTGTAAAATCCAAGTTTAACGGAACCTCCGGCACGATTTGAACATCCATTGACCCAGCAGGAGATGACCATTTTCAACTTTATCACGACATTAACACGTTTCAGCTTCTTTTTCTATTGTTTTGCCCACAGCATGCCAACACAAATGTCGCCGGGTCGGCAAATCCCGTATGTAGTGACGTCATGTGGGAACTATGTATAACACAAAAAACAATGAAGATGAAGTCTCCGCTCATACGTGTGCTAAGCTCTCAACTAGGGACTGTCTGCAAAGTGCAAGATTTGACAGAACGTTTCAGATGGGTTGGTGAATAATAGAAAAAGGGTGTGTTTAAAAAGTAAATTTTCCCAGTTTTGATAGGTGCAGTAGCTCCAAGCCCCGGCGATCCAAGATGGCATTCTATTCAAATGAATGGTTGTATTTGGGCATCGTCTGGTCCTCCCGGTTCTGCGCAGTGGATGATCTCCCATAATGCGTTGCGCCAAACACGCGTGTGTGGGTCTCACACCGGGTCTCACGCACGTGCACAGAGGGGCTCGGCTGCGCTCTGACCAATCAGAGCAGTTCATCAGAGCGGGAGTTAGAGCGAGAGCCAGAGGAGCAGAGTTTGTGGCACTAAAGTGTGGATTTAAACAAAACATGAAGGATTTAAGAAGAAAAAAAGTTCAGGATAACAAGGGACACTAAAAACCCCACAAAATCCGACCTTAATGAAAGCTGTAGGTTCTCTGTCAACTGAGGTCGCGCTGTTTTAATATGCATTGAGTCCTATGGGGTAAATTTCTGGGTAGCCCGCGTGAATTTAGTCTGGTTCAGTCTGCAGTACCGCGAGAATCCCCCGAGCACGTGAGTTATTCAGCTACAAGCTAGTAATACCCTATCCAGTTATTATAATAGATCCATGAGTAGCTCCCACTGAATGATATCTAGCTACTACAGGCAAAATTTGGGAAAAATATTGTTTTCCCCTTTACAGTAACAAAAATGAAATTGGAAAAATTCCCAAAAAATCAACAAAGACAGTTTTTCCAGTGTTGATGGGTGTAGTAGCTCCCAATAAATGATAGCTAGCTACTACAGGCAAGAATTTGGGAATAAAATGTTTTCCCCCTTCACAGTAGGAATAATGAAATTGGAAAAATTCACTAAAAATCAACAAAGATATTTTTCCCAGTTTTGATGGGTGTAGTAGCTCCATTTGAACAATGGCTAGCTACTACAGGCAAGAATTTGAGAAAAATATTGTTTTCCCCTTCACAGTAACAAAAATGAAATTGGAAAAATCCACTAAAAATCAACAAAGATATTTTTCCCAGTTTCAATGGGTGTAGTAGCTCCCAATAAATGATAGCTAGCTACTACAGGCAAGAATTTGGGGAAAAAATGTTTTTCCCCTTCACAGTAGGAATAATCAAATTGGAAAAATTCACAAAAAATCAACAAAGATATTTTTCCCAGTTTTGATGGGTGTAGTAGCTCCATTTGAACAATGGCTAGCTACTACAGGCAAGAATTTGGGGAAAAAATGTTTTTCCCCTTCACAGTAGGAATAATGATATTGGAAAAATTAACTAAAAATCAACAAAGACACTTTTCAAGGTTTTGATGGTTGTAGTAGCTCCAATTGAACAGTAGCTAGCTACTACATGCACGAATTTGGAAATATATATATACAGTGGGGCAAAAAAGTATTTAGTCAGCCACCGATTGTGCTAGTTCTTCCACTAGGTCTGTAATTTTCATCATAGGTACACTTCAACTGTGAGAGACAGAATGTGAAAAAAAATCCAGGAATTCACATTGTAGGATTTTTAAAGAATTTATTTGTAAATTATGGTGGAAAATAAGTATTTGGTCCCTTCAAACAAGGAAGATCTATGGCTCTCACAGACCTGTAACTTCTTCTTTAAGAAGTTCTTCTGTCCTCCACTTGTTACCTGTATTAATGGCACCTGTTTGAACTCGTTATCTGTATAAAAGACACCTGTCCACAGCCTCAAACAGTCAGACTCCAAACTCCACTATGGCCAAGACTAGAGAGCTGTCGAAGGACACCAGGAAAAGAATTGTAGACCTGCACCAGACTGGGAAGAGTGAATCTACAATAGGCAAGCAGCTTGGTGTGAAAAAATCAACTGTGGGAGCAATTATCAGAAAATGGAAGATATACAAGACCACTGATAATCTCCCTCGATCTGGGGCTCCACGCAAGATCTCATCCCGTGGGGTCAAAATGATCATGAGAACGGTGATCAAAAATCCCAGAACCACACGGGGGGACTTGGTGAATGACCTGCAGAGAGCTGGGACCAAAGTAACAAAGGTTACCATCAGTAACACACTACGACGACAGGGAATCAAATCCTGCAGTGCCAGACGTGTCCCTCTGCTGAAGCCAGTGCATGTTCAGGCCCGTCTGAAGTTTGCCAGAGAGCACATGGATTATACAGCAGAGGATTGGGAGAATGTCATGTGGTCAGATGAAACCAAAGTAGAACTGTTTGGTATAAACTCAACTTGTCGTGTTTGGATACTGAATTGCATCCCAAGAACACCATACCTACTGTGAAGCATGGGGGTGGAAACGTCGTGCTTTGGGGCTGTTTTTCTACAGGACGACTGATCTGTGTTAAGGAAAGAATGAATGGGGCCATGTATTGTGAGATTTTGAGCCAAAACCTCCTTCCATCAGTGAGAGCTTTGAAGATGAAACGTGGCTGGGTCTTCCAGCATGACAATGATCCTAAACACACTGTGAGATTTCATAACACTTTTAAGCAACTTTTGTTAAAGTTAAACTCATCATTCTATCAATGTGCAGAAGCCAGTACTTTTCCCTTGTTTTGTCTATCTGAAGGCCAAGCTACATGGCACCGTGGAAGCTGCTGATTGGAGGTCTCCAGGCCTCCGCTCTGTATAATACACTTGCATTCCGTTGTTCGTGTTGTTTGTGCTGTCTCTACCATCGACAATAAAACGTGTCTTCTGTCTGAATTAAAGACGCGATCCCAGACTTTGTCATCTTCTTCAACACCCCCCGGGCAACGAAGTAGTGGCTCCGTAAGAAGCA